CCGTCTTAGGCCAGCTTCGAGCCAACTTCGGCCATCTTGGTGGGTTCCTGGCACGTCTGACGCCGTCGGGAGCCGTCTTGGGGGCCTCTCTGAACCGACTCGGGGTCCTCTTGGGGCGCTTCGGGGCCGTCTTGGAGGCCATCTTGGGCGTCTTGGAGGTCTCTTGGGCCGTCTTGGGGTGGGGCCCTCTTTGGGGCCGTCTTGGAGGCCTCTTGGGCCGTCATGGGGCCCTCGTGGAGGCCTCGTGGGCGATGGTGGGGCGATCTTGGCGGCCTCTTGGGCCGTCTTGAGCCGTCGGAATGCCGAGAAGAGGCAAATGCCCAAATCCTTCAAAAGGCCGAGGAACATCTGGCCTCTGCGGGCCCTCCTGGAGCAGCTCTTGGGCTGTATTGAGGCCTCTTGGGCCGTCTTGGGCCATCTTGAGGCTGTCTTACGCCATTTTGGGTACATCTTGGGCCGTCATGGAGGCATCTTGGGGCCATCTTAGCCGTCTTGGAGGCCATCTTGGTCGTCTGGGATGCATCTTGGAGGCCATCTTGGGCCGTCGTGGAGCCGTCTGGACCAGGAAAAACCCTTTGGAGCCGGGTCCGGGCAAATTTTTTGAAAAAGAACCAACACCAAAAACGGTAGGATTCAGCACGCCAGGCACCCCTCTTGCAAGCAACAGGTGGCGGCGGATCGAAGACGCCTACGGCGAATCACCGCCGCCCCCTGCCTTGTTGGAAGCGCCTATGTGGCCGAACGTTGAGGCCAGACCTGCCAAGCTATCAGACCATGTGTTCCCCGAATCGGTTTGGAAAGCCTTCGGGGAACACGTGGGCATCTTGAAGGTCATCTTGGCCGTCTGGAGTCTGGAGGCCATTTTGACCCTTTCGGGCCTTCTTGGAGCACGTCTTGGAGGGCTCTTGGGCCGTGTTAGAGGACATCTTGAGCGTCTTGGAGACCTCTTGGGCCGTCTTGGGGGCCTCTTGGCGCCGTGTCTTGGGCCTCTTGGGCGATCTTTGGGGGCACTTGGGCCGTCTCGGGCCGTCGGAAGGCAGAAAAAACGCAAATGCCACAATCCTTCACAAACCGATGGGACATCAATGATTTTGGCCTTTTCGGGCCTTCCTGGAGGCCCTCTTGGAGGCCTCTTGGGCCGTCTTGGATCATCTTAGGGCCATGTTCGGCCGTCTTGGTGGGCTCCTGGTCCGTCTGACGCCGTCGGAAGCCGTTTGGGGGGCCTCTATGGGCCGACTTGGGGCCCTCTTGGAATGCTCCAGGGCCGTCTTGGAGGCCCATCTTGGGAGTCTTAAAGGCCTCCTGTGCCGTCTTGGGGGCCTCCCTCTTGGGCGGTTCTTGTGCCATTTTGGGGGCCTCTTGGGCGATCTTTCGGCAATCTTCGGGGGCTCTTGGGCCGTCTCGGGGGCCTCCTGGGCCGTCTTGGGCCAGCTTCGAGCCAATTTCGGCTATCTTGGTGGGTTCCTGGCACGTCTGACGCCGTCGGGAGCCGTCCTGGGGGCCTTTCTGAGCCGACTTGGGGCCCTCTTGGGGCGCTTCGGGGCCGTCTTGGAGATCATCTTAGGCGTCTTGGAGGCCATCTTGGGCGTGTTGGAGGCCTCTTGGGCCGTCTTGGGGCGCTCTTGGGGCTGTCTTGGAGGCCACTTGGGCCGTCATGGGGCCCTTTTGGGGGCCTCTTGAGCGATCTTGGAGGCCTCTTGGGCCGTCTTGGGCCGTCGGAAAGCCGAAAAGGCGCAAATGCCAAAATCCGTCCAAAACCTAAGGAAAATCAATGATTTGGGCCCTTTCGGGCCTTCCTGGAGGACGTCTTGGAGGGCTCTTTGGCCGTCTTGGAGGCCTCTTGCGGGCCTCTTGGGCCGTCGTAGACAATCTTGAGGCCATCTTGGGCCGTCTTGGAGGCATCTTGGGGCCATCTTAGCCGTCTTGGAGGCCATCTTGGGTCGTCTTGGAGACGTCTTGGAGACCATCCTGGACAATCTTGGCCGTCTTGGACACCATCTTGGGCCAACTGGAGGAAACAGAGGCACGACGGACGCGTTTTGAGATCCTTTCGGGGTGGCCGGCGGGACGGGCCGAAGCCCCAGGGGGAGTTCTTTTGGAAAAAGAACCAACACCAAAAGCCATATCATCCGGCACGCCAGGCACCCCTTTGATACATCAAAAGGGGGTTGCGGATCTAGTGGCCTTCGTCCCATCCCGCCACCGTGCCTGGGTTGTGGGTTGTGGATCAGTGGCCTCTTGGATGCTTGTTGAGGTCTCTTCGGAAGCCTCTGGGGAGTCTCTTGGAGGCAGCTGGAAGCCTCGTGGGGGCCGTTTGGGGGTCTCTTCTGGGCCTCGTGGGGGCCGTTTGAAGCCTCGTGGGGGCCGTTTGAAGCCTCGTGGGGGCTTCTTCTGGGCCTCTTGGGGATCTCTTGGGGCCTCTTGGGGACTTCTTGGAGGTTTGCGGGCGATCTTGGGGGCCCCCGTGGGGCGGAGGGTTCGAAAGCTCAGCTCGAGTACCCCATCTTGGGCCCATTTTGGGGGCCCTCTCGGAAGTCTTGGGCGCCTCTTTGGCCGTCTTGGGGGCCTTGGGGGCCTCTTGGGGCGATATTTGGGGCTTCCTGGGCCGTCCTAGACGATGTGAAAGCCCAAGAGGCGAACCTGTTGAACATGCATGTGTTCTGCTTGGGAATCTGGCGATGCTTGCCTTTTGGGGTGCTCTCGGGGCCCTCTCGAGGTGTCTTGTGGGCCCCTTGGGCCGTCTTGGGGCCACAATGGTCGTCTTGAAGCTGTCTTGGACCGCTAGTGGACCTTCTCTAGTCGTTCGAGGCGGTTCTTCAAGCGCTCTCGAGGGTTCGGGAGCCCGAGGAGCTCCAGGGAAGTTCCGGGAGCGGCTGGGAAACTGGGGGTCCGGGCCTTTGGAATCTTACAGCCCCATCTACCTCTCGGGCTGCAGGGATGCGGAGCTGCATAAGCCTTGGGGCACTCCACTGCGGGATCCATTGATTCTTGAGATGGTTTGTCGAAGGATGGTGTGAACGAGGAAGAGGAGGACAATGAGGAGGTTGGTGGCGGAGGAGGAGGAGGAGGAGGAGGAGGAGGAGGAGGAGGAGGAGGAGGAGAGGGTGAGAAATATGAGCGCTGTATATATCTGTATATATATACATATATATATACATTTACATATACGTACGTACTTATACATTCGCATCGTTATAGATGCATGCATATGTGCATGCACGATGCTACCCACGAGTGCATACGCTCATCTGTATCTGTACCGTATGCGTGTGCAGTGCCAGGGAGCAGGTCCTGCATGGCCGATCGCTGCTCTTGACAGCGGGGGCTCTGTTGAGGTTTGAGCGAGGCGTGTCTAATCCGGTGCAAGTGGGAAAGGCACGTGAGGTTCGCCCGTCGTCCGTCGTTCGCTCGCCGCACGTCGGTTGTGGGTGCGCCATCAGGGTTCAAGCAGTCGTTCGTCGTCGTTCGTCGCGGCTACTCCAGATTTCGTAATAAAGGGAGGGGGGTCTCATTTCGGGGGGGGGTCTCTTCCAGGCTATCTTGGAGGGCCTGGGGGGGTCTGGGGACGATGTTTTGGAGGGTTCTCCCACGGGGGAGGTCTGAAATGGCTTGTCTTGGAAGGTCCAGACCCCCTCCCTTTTATTACGAGATCTGGAGCACCACTTGACTTGGGGGCGTGCCGTTCGTCGTTCCTCGAAGTCCACCGCTCTCGGCGCGTTCGTTCCATCATATGTCGTTCGTCGGTCCAGCAGGACTCGAGTGCGACCTTCGTAGGACTTCCACGGGATCCCGCCGGGATTCCAGTCGGATGCCAATGCGATCTTACGTGATGGGGCCGAAAGTATTCCAATCGCGCCGGAATGGGACTCCAATGATGCCCCACTCGGGCCAACATCCGATTCCTATGATTATCCAATCGGGTTCTGCTAGGGCGCTAATCGTATGTTTGCCGGGGCTGGTTTGTGTGGGTCGATTGGTGACACTGTTGTTCGATTACATTGGCTAATAAGTATGCGGAAGTTGAGCGTTCGTTTCACTATCCAAGAAGATGGGCTAGGTACGTTTTAAAGGGGGTGGTCTGCAGTCCAAGATCAAGTGTACCCATGGTCCGCCGTTCTTCGTCCACCATGTCAAAGTAGGGGTACGTATTGAGGCAGGTTTTTGTCTGTCGCTTAGGAAAAGTAATTTACACAGTTTTAGACGTTCGTCGTTCGTCTGTCCAGGTTGGGTTGGTATGTCCATGATTGCCCAGTTGCCTGTAGGCTCAGTAGAGACTCAAGTGTTTTCATGCGGGAGAGCGTGTGTCGGTTCTCCTGCGTTGTGGACAAAACTTTTGTAGAGACCCCCATGTCTAGATTCGCATGCTGACGCTCCGAGTTCGATGGAGGCAAACAGGGAAGGAGGCAAGAGGGGAGGGGATGGAGAAGGATGGAAGGTGGGATATGGAAGCTACGTACCAACATGTCACAATGAGCTCCCCATCGACAGGAATGAGTTAGTCCTCTCGCACGGCGGTTCCCCGGTTCCCCATAAGTGTCTGTTTGTAGAGCACGCTGCAGTCGTGAGCTCAAGGGGACGCACGAGGTGTTGGCAAGTGGGAGGAGGCTGCGGAGGAGGAGGAAAATGAGGAGGAGAAGAAAAGAACACAATCAGACGAAGGCCCTTGCGTTAGTTGCTTGTTGTTATCCAATGTGTGAGGCCGCGTCTTCTGACTCATTGACCTTCATCTGCCGTGCCTTGCCGAGGAGCAGAAGAGGGAGGAGGAGGAGGAGGAGGAGGAGGAGGAGGA